GTCCCGGCTGCCGCCCAGCTTCTCCCGCACCCCCGCCGCCAGAACTGCTCCCCGAGCACGAAGGAGGTGCCATGCGGAGCCCTCCGAGCCGGTGCGCCGTGGCTCGCGCCCTGGTCCTGGCCGGCCTCTGGCTGGCCGCAGCCGGGCGCCCCCTAGCCTTCTCGGATGCTGGGCCGCACGTGCACTACGGCTGGGGCGAGTCCGTCCGCCTCCGGCACCTGTACACCTCCGGTCCCAACGGCCTCTTCAGCTGCTTCCTGCGCATCCACTCAGACGGCGCCGTGGACTGCGCGCGGGGCCAGAGCGCGCACAGTGAGTGCCCGCCGGGCCCCTCACCCACCACAGCGCCCTTCGTCCCTTTACCTGCCTAGGCTCCCGCGAGTTCCCCACCACCAGGAACCCCAAGTCTTGGCCCCTCTGCGTTCTACTCCCTTCCTGGACTCCCCGGCCTCAGAAGGAGCTGGGGGAAGGGGAGATGAGCGCGTGGACCTACTGCACCCACGCGTTACCCTCCCCTTGCCCCACCTTGGGTTCCTTTGGACCCCCCCCAACTCCTAGGTCCCCAGACTTCGAGAGAAACTGGGGGAGTGGTGGGGGGCACCGGCCCGTACACAGACCAACCACATCCACGTGTTGTGGGCCCCGCGGGTCCCGGCTCCAGTTTTTTTGCTGTCTTTTCGGCCAGGTTTGATGGAGATCAGGGCAGTCGCTCTGCGTACCGTGGCTATCAAGGGCGACCGCAGCGTCCGGTACCTCTGCATGGACGCCGACGGCAAGATGGAAGGGCTGGTAGGTGTCTCCATCCGGCAAGACGCGCTGGCGGGATCTTTGCCGGTCCCCGGGCGGGAGCCTGCAGGGGAGGAGGGCACTCTGGAACGAATCCAGAGTTTCCTCGTTTCCTCCGCCGGGGCCCGCATGGAGATCGGAGGGGAAGACTGCAAGGGCGGGATTAAGCTAACGTCCAGCTTTCTAATATGGAAGTTTATGGCTGGAGAACGGGTGAGACCCGCCTTTGCATTTCCACTGGAGCCAAAGGCGGGTCCAGCTGGACGGAGGAAACCCATTACTAGGCTCTTCGATATTAAACGGGGAAGCCCACCTCCTGCCTTTCGGGTGCATGTGTGGTGCTCGCCTCCGGCTCCCTCCCTGCAGTGTTAAAAAAAGGAAAGAGAAGAAAGAAAGAAAAAGAAAAAAAAAGGAAGGGAGGAAAGAGAGCAAAAGTGTGTAGCCACAACTTGGATTTTTTTTTAAGTCAATCTTCCAATAAGTCAGAAGAAAAATCATATTTGGGATTGAAGTAGTTTTTTTTTATTAATTTTCATCTACTAGAAAAACGGGTATTTTGCAGACGCCATAGGGGGACATCCGGGGGTGTGCTTATCCTCGAGTTGGGCTCACCTGTAGTGCAAAGGCTTTTGGGGGGAGGGCGGGGGCGGGTTGGGGAGGCTCAGGTAACCACAGGGGTCTCCGGGCAGGAAGTGTGCAGATGCTCGGTCTCTGGTCGCCAGAACAAAGGCTGAGAGTTCAAAGGGAGCCCGCGCCCCCGGGCGCACAGAGAAGGCTGTGTGAGGTCCAGGCCCTGCGCAGGGCCTCCTTGCAGCCCCGCTGCGCCGGGGGCTCAGATGGAAGCGCAGGGGCGAGGGGGAAGGGAGGGGACCGCTCCTTCTGGGATGCCCCGCCCTCCAGAAAAGATGCAGACGCCGGGTCTCCGCAGCACGAATCTTTTTAGTGTCTCAATACTGTTTTGTGGCTCTAGGTCGCCGTTTTTTGTATTTGTCCAGAATGTCTGTTGCAAGTTTTATGGGAGAGTCCTGAGTGAAAAGGACAAGGAAGGAGATGGGCTCTTGCTGAAAGCTGATACCCAGAGCCACTGCAAACCCGCAATGGCAACTTTTGTTACCCTGACATTTACTTATGGGTGGGGCACCAGTGGCGTGTCTGCAGGAGCAGATGGATCTAACCTACTATTTTGGTCCAAACTGTGGGGCAAGGGTCTCTTCACCTAAAATTCTCTTATGCCTCCAGATCCCATGGTCATGATTTAGCAAAACTTGAGTATTAAACAAACAAACAAAAAACACCACCAAATTCCACCTTCTCCTAGAAACTCGAAATCCTTCCATTTTCTCAATGGAGAAGAAAATGAGATGCTAATTTCTCCCAAAGAACCAGCAGAGTGAAACAGTCGCCCCACTTGGCTTTAATTCCCTTGTTTATGAATTTGCATTTCCCCTGCTGTCTGGCCACCTTTTCCCTGAGCGCGAGCCCGGCGTGTTGCTTCATTAGATGCGGGCCTTATCAGGGCCTTATCAGCACAGTGCTCACCCACCTGCAGTTCAGCGACCTTTGTAGGCTTGGGCAGAAATGAGACCGGGTGCCTCCCAGCATAGTTTACGGCCCAGTCCTCCTGGCTCCCTGCCTTTGGCCGTCCTCCATGTGTCCCCAAGATGTCAAGCCCCTCCTCAGTTTGGGACATGACTTTCTCACTGGCATCTCAGCTACCAGTGTTCTGGGACCACGGACTGGTTTCCTTCCGTCCTTCTGGCCACATTTCCGGCCACCCACGGGGTGCAGGCTTCTTCCTGGCCTGGGGGGAGGGGGCTGCCTTTATCTTGATCCTGGCAGGCTGCCTGGAGGGCCCCAGCTACTGAATGAAGAAGCCGGGGGTGGGGGGGCTGAGGTTTCTGACAAGGGCACCAGACAAAAAAGGCTCAGAACCGCTCAGTCATTTGGATCTAAGTGGGGAATGGATTCTTTAATCTGGGCCCCAGATTGGATGACTTGTGTTGCTTAATTAAAAGCCTGATCCTAAAAGGATAACACAGTTTAGCAGTGTTTCCCGGTGCCAGTGGATACAAGGGACTTCTTAATGTCAATAATTATGGGAAGCATGTGTGCCTGCCATGCCTATGATTTTAATGGCTACTGCTCAGAACAAGTCTAAGTTTAAAAAGTGACATGGTTTAGTGAAGAAAATAAAGGATCTGCACGAGGTATGTCTGAGTATATGCATGAAACACACATGAAATATACCTGAAGTGTGTGTGTAAGTTGAAGGTTATAAGGTATAAAGGCATACAAAGTACACATATTTATATATAAAGCGTATGTTTATTATGTTTAATGTTTGAACATGTATTTAATGTTATTTAATTTATTATGTTTATGTATTAATACAATGTAATGTATTTAATGAATATATTACTCTAATATTTGCTTTATACTTTATATATGTGTATATCAAACATTATACTAAATAGATATAAGTTTATATATATATATACATATGTACCATATATGCCTTCATACTTTATAACCTTTAACTATGTGCACACGTACACATACACACGGCGTATGGTGTAGACCCGAGCAGCAGTATGTAGCACACACGACTACCTGTGCCTCGTCTCTCCGCTACTTCTGCTGGCATCACACTCCTGTGGGTACTCACTGCTGCTCACAGGCTGTTTGTTTGCTCTGCAGACTGAGTACTCGGCCGAGGATTGTGCTTTCGAGGAGGAGATGCGCCCCGATGGCTACAACGTGTACTGGTCCAAGAAACACCATCTCCCTGTCTCTCTGAGCAGTTCCAGGCAGAGGCAGCTGTACAAGGGCAAGGGCTTTCTGCCCCTGTCCCATTTCCTGCCCATGCTCTCCAGCATCCCAGCAGAGCCCGAGGAACTCCAGGACCACCTGGAGCCCAATTTGTTTCCGTTGCCCCTGGAAACAGATAGCATGGACCCCTTTGGGATCGCCACCAAACTGGGAGTGGTGAAGAGTCCCAGCTTCCACGAATAACGGAGGCTCGGTCCTCCCTTCGGCCCCTGGAGACCAGGACCCCAGGCTGTGGTGCTCGAAGAGTGGATTTTCTACAAGTAGGATCCTGAATCCATGTTCTATTTAGCTTTAGGAAGAAACATTTAGAACTTGTACATATACAAAGTTTTGCATTGCCGGTGCCAGTTTCTAGTGGATAGACTTGTATGATCATAAAATTGTAAGCCGCTCCCCCTCCCGCCCAGCTTCTCCCTACCCCAGAGCCCCCCTCCCCCACACCTTTGCCATTGCTGGAGAGGTTGCTGTACTACCCTTGAATACCTCCACTGATGGGGAACTCACTACCTTTGGTGCAGTTCTTATGCCAAGCTGACATTCTCTGCAGTTCTCCCCATCAATTCCAAGCAGGGGCAACCAGAAGAAAACAGGCATTCTAAATTTATGTACAGGTGATCAACTTTGAAACCCCAGGTAAATCTGACTCTGCTGGAGTTTAGAATTGCTCCAGATGGTGTCTCCAAGGGGGACCATTGGCCCTCTCCAGTTCCCTCCAGGATAGAACTAACTGGGTGCAGGCACTGCCCACAGGCTTTAGGAGCAGGGGGAGCCCAGAGGCTCCCTCCAGCCTGGGTAGATCTTAAGAGCTCTGTGATGGCTGGTTCTGGGATGGATAACCTCCGCTGGACTCCGCGCAAGGCAGAGAGCAGCTATTCCCCATCCCCACCCCACAACCAGTACCCTGCATGTGGCCAACACTTGCCCAGGCTTGTGCTGGTTCCTCTAAAGTGAATGGCCACATGGCTACCTGCTCAAGAGGGACAGCCCATCTCAGCAGTCCTGCCTTACCACTGTGACCGGGGTTTCCAGGGAATCAGATTTCAAGTTGTGTGGATTTCACATGAGGGCCCCTGGAGAGGGGACCCCCCACATCCTACCCACCCCCTCCTGGTTCTCCCGCCTCATGGTGGGGAGGTCTGGCTCTCCCTCCTTTCTTAAGCAGCTGTGGATGTTGACCTGAAAAGAGCAGACCGCCCTCTTCCAGGAGCTGCCTCCCTTTTTCCAGCCCGTTGCCCTGGTCATTTTGTGAATCGGGACTTGGCAGCCTCCCACCTTTAGGTAAAGCTGAATGTTTCATTCAAAAGCCGGGAAAAGGAAGAGCTGAAAGCAGCAGGAAGATCAAGTCCATTCCCCAGCACTTGGTTTCCAGCAGGATATTTATGAGTAATTTATTGTTTGCTATGTACATCTCATTATTTTCTTACTTTATTTATACCCCCAAATTGTATTTATGTATGTACATGAGGGGTTTTTTTTCTACATTAAAGTTTGTATCAAAAATTATATTCCGTTATCCAACTAGAATATTTATATGGGATAAAGGGGAAGGCCGGGGGCGAGGGGGTGACTTTCTGATTGTCTGCTGTGTCTGGGACTGCGCTCAGTGATAGAGTTTGTGCTTAGCACACACAAGGTCCTGGGTTCAATCCCCAGTACTTCCGTTAAAATAAATAAAACCTAATTCCTTCCCCCCCACAAAATAAAAATACTCTTAAAAAAAAAAAAGAAAAGCCTGGACTGGACCCAGCTGCCCTTTGTGCCTGGGTGCCAGGTTCCTCCCACCACATCTCTGCCAAGAGTCGGTGGTAAGGACGCCACTGTGTGACAAGTGTCTTCAGCTGCAGGAAGAAGACCCCAGCTGACAGTGGCCTAAGTCAAGGTGTCTGTCATCCTGCTCACGTAATTCTCTGTTGGGGACAGGTGCTCCTGAATGTTCTAGAATAAAGAGCAGCTTCCCCACCTCTGATCACTATATGCCGGTAGCCCCCCCCCCCAGCGTGACAAGATGCTCCTGCGTGTCCTTGAGGGGCAAAGTCACCCCTGATTGAGAGCCACTGGCCTAAACATGCAGGATTTCTTTTTGTCCAGTGTGAAAGCAGGCAGCGACATCGTTCAGGACCTCAGGGTACCCAGGCTGTGTTCTCCGTCACCCTGCTGGGGTCTCTGTCTTGTGGCTTTGTGGTCTCAGCACAGCTGCGGTGCCTTGAGCTGAAACGTGCGGTTCTCAAGCCGGGAACAAGGAGTCATTGCTGCACTGGCCTCTTATCTGCAAAGACACAAGCTTTCTTAGACCTGCCAGCAGGTGCCACTTAACCTCCAATGAGCTACGATGCCCCCCAGCTGCAAGGCAGGCTGGGAAAGCAGGTGTTAGGTGGGACACGCTGCCATTCTGACCAAAGAGGGGATCTGTTAGCATAAAAAAGAAGGGGCCAGTGGCATGGTATCTATCCATGGGATGATGTTACACAAGATCCACATCCTAATGCAAGCACAGGGATGTGGAATCAGCACCTGAAATGAGCGTTAAAAGTCGTGACTAACTTAGGGGCTGCCAGAGGTTGGGGTGGTGTGTCTGTGAAGGTGATGGTGGGTCCACTTTGCAACTCACGAGGTGGTTGCATCACATTTACACATGGGGTAAAATGACAAAACTACACACATACTGGACTGATACACGTTCCATACACATACGCACACACATGCATGCACATGAGTGCACAGTCTTGTACACAAGCCCAGGCAGGTCTGCCCTGTACAGTTGTGCAGGCTGTGTCCTGCACAAGGGCTCTTTCGGCTGAAGTCCAGCCTGCCCACCGAATTGGATGCCAGGTGCGGGGCTGAGTCTGCCCAGAGCTAGGATGCCCTGTCCTCAGTTACAAAGGCACCGTATAGGCTAGTGGAGGCAGTGGACGTGGTAGGAGCCGGGAGCCTTGGTCCCCAAGCCCTGCTCAGCCTCAGTGAGCCAGGCTTGCTTAAGATGTATCCGTTGGGGGAAGCTGGGCCAAAGGGACAAAAGACCTCTTTGTACCGACCCTGCAACTTACTGTGGATCTACAATTATTTCAAAATAAAAAATAACCCCTCCAAACCTCAAAGCAAAAACAACCTGTTCTCTGGCAACATCAGAACCACCACCGCTTTCCCCCTGAGAGCCCGTCCAGGCCACAGAGGCAGCCTGGCTAATGGCGCAGGCTGAGGGGCTCGGCAGATCCCCCACCTCCTTGCTGTTCATTCTTCTAAGCATCAATTTCCTCATCTGCAAAGTGGGCCCAGGACGGGCCGAGGACAGAACAGCAGCACGCTGCCTGGCGAGGACGAGGGTCTGCGGCCCTCGCTCAGCAGGGGGTTACCAGGTGCTTAGCTCGGCCCCTAAACAATTGAGATCATTGTTAAAGGCTATGAAAGCCATCTCACCAGGAACCTCGCACCCCACCAACAAGGGGGCCCACCCTTTAAACCATCGGTCACGCTGATGACACGCCCGAGGTGCCCAGAGTTGACCCCTGCTGTTTGCTCACCAAGATGTCCTCTAACTCTTCAATGTCCTTGCCGTCCCAGGCAGGCAGGACTGCATGACACTTGCTGACACAGCGTCCTCTAGCCCTGTTTATGGTTGCAGGAGTGCAGGACCCGAGAAGGGAAGACACTGACCCAAAGTTGCACAGCCCAGAGGCAGCATGGCGGGAGGAGTACGGGGTCAGGCCATCCCGGCAATGAATCCTCAGGCTGTTAACCAGGTGTGTGACCTTGAATCAGTCGTGTCACCTCTCTGAGTCTGCACCCTGTACAAAGGGTGAGATAAACAATGTCTGCATTGCAGGGACTGTTGGGAAAATCAAGAGGAATTATGTCTGCAGGGTGCCGGGTACAGAATGGGCTGCCAGCAACAGCAGCCCTCACCCAGACTAGAACTCTCCGCCCTGAATAATTATTTCCACTGGTTATCAAATTCGGCTAGGGCTGAGGGAATGTCACCTGCCATTATCAGTAAACAAAGGATGTTTCGGCCAAGCCAGCAGTCACTGCAGCCACCCCAACTCTGCAGCTGTAGGGGGCTGAGGATGGAGAAAAGCAGGATTCTGGCCCTAGAGAGCTGAGGTGCACATCAAAGGAACGATTTCAATGAGCCCAGACTCTTGCATCGTCCCAGACATCGAAAAGCGCTAAATTCTTTAACTTGAGATGTCGGGTTTTTCTTTAATTAACAGGAATCTTTTGATGTTTAATGTTTTGATGTGCCTACCTGGGCTTTTTTTTTTTCCCCAAAAACTCCTACATCTCCTGGCTCCTCCCTCACCTCTTCTGAGCTGTCCCTCAGAGCAATCTGAGAGGCTTAAGTCCTCAGAGAGCCTGCGGAATAAAACGTACTTCCCAACTGCTAGGCTGTGCAGTTTTTTCAGTTGACAGACTGCACACTGGAATCACCTGGGGTAGGATAATGAGACCCCACCTCTGGAGATCCTGTTTTCACTGGAGTGAGTGTGGCCTCCACCTAAGGATTTTTTAAAGCTCTCCTGTGGTTCATCTACGCAACCCAGGTTGAGAACCACAGAGAAACATCCAATCCTTTGTACTCTGGAGACAAACACTTCAGGGGAAAGTGAAGTGCCTTCCTCTCTGGAGTCCCCTCCCTATAGCACAGCTGACAATAATGAGTAAATGTACAACATTGTAAAGTAATTCATACTAGAATGTGAGAGGTTAATATGTTTTTGCTCCAGGTCACATTTTCTCTTCACCGGGCTGCCAAAGTCATAATGACTGTCTCTATGGATACTGTGGGCTCTCTGGCCAGAAATGGGGAAGATTACTTTTTAAGGCTGCATCTTAGCACCCACCCCCTGCCCTGCCTCCTCATAGGAAGGTGGCCCTACCCTCTGGCTGTGTTTCCCTTCCCTGCCTCAGCTAGTGTTGTCAATATTAGCAAAGAAAACTCAGCATGCCATTAATGTTTTTTTAAATTGAAGTATAGTTGATTTACAAGGTTGTGTTAGTTTCAGGTTACAGCATAGTGATTCAGTTATACACACACACACACACACACACACATATTCTTTTTTGGATTCTTTTCCATTGTAGGTTATTACAAGATACTGAATACGTTTCCCATGCTATACAGTAGGTCCTTGTTGTTCATCTATTTTATATATATAGTAATGTATGTATCTGTTAATCCCAAACACCTAATTTATACCCAGTTAAATTTGAATTTCAGATCCACAATATCTGTTACTTAATTTTTTAGTATAAGTGTGTCCCATGCAATACTTGAGACATACTAAGTAAGTATTCATTGTTCACCTGAAATTCAAATGTAACTGGTCTCCTGTATTTTATCTGGCAGCTCTAGCTTTAAATCCACACCACTGATGTGGGGTCAGATAATGTAGGAGGACCAGGGCAGAAGGCTCAATTGAACAAGCTTGTTCAGTGGTCAGAGCCCAGTAGCAGAATGTCAAAGACCCGAGGGGCAGGGCAGCCTTGGGAGATTCGCACTCTCTCTTCAGGCTGGTTCCTGCCTGTGAAGTGCGAACCCCTACACCGCTCCAGGCCAGTGGCCCGTGGGGCCGGGATCCGGACAGCATCGGACGTCACTCCTCTCTGTCTCTCCTTGTGATGACAAGATGGTCCCCAGCAGCTCCGGCTTCTCTGCTGTCTCAGCAGGGGTGACACACCGTTCTCTCCCATCAACAGCTCCAGCAAGAGTGTCCCAGAGCTGGGTCTGGTGGACACGTATCACGTCCAGTCTTCATTCCCTGCCAGATCTCAGCAGCCAGGGGCCAGGATGCTCTGACCCACCAGCCCTGTGTGCCTTCCTCCAGCCGAGACGTTCTGGGACTGAGCGGGGTTGGTCGCCTAGAGGAAAACCCAGGGGGACAAGAATTCCCTTGAGATGTCTACAGTCACCATCCAGTGCTAGATTCACCTTCCCCCTTCTGGATGAGGACGTACCACCTGGAAATGACCCACAAGAAGGGGAAGTCCCAAGGGTGGGTGGGTAGAAGGCCACCACGGATGTAGAAATGGCTCATCCCATTACAGAGGGTAGGACAGCCGGCCTTGGGCTCAGACCCACCTCCTGCTATCAAGGTCACCAGAAAGTAGGCTCCACTCTAGGAATGGGGAGGGGTGGTGTATCTTTTGCAACTGAGCAGAGAGAGAGACAGAGTGAGAGAAAGACAGCGAAAGACAGTGAGAGAAAGAGAGAGACAGAGAATGGCGGGGGGGAGGAGTAGGGGAGGGGGAGAGGGAGGGAAGGATGGGCCAGGGGGAGAGTTTTCTTAGGGGCTGTCCTCTGCATGTCACAACACACACACACACACACACACACACACAACACACACACATGCAGTTATCAAGAAAGTTAAGGGGGAGGGAGGGAGGAAGGAAGGAGGGTTGATGCTGGATAAATGGATGGATGGATCCTTTGTC